GCCTTAGCTCCCTCATCACAAATGACATATCTGATAGAGCGATTCAAAAATACATAAAAAACTTACAAAACTGAACACCCAAAAAACAATCCAATTTAAAATGGGCAGAGCAAATTATATGAAAATACTAATTTGAGAGGACACATGCACCATAATGTTTATAGCAGGCTATCAACAGTAGCCAAACACTAGAAACAGCCCAGTGTCCAACAACGGATGAACAGGTAAATACATGGTATATATATATACAATGGAGTATTACTCAGCAATCAAGAAGAATGAAATTGTGTCATTTGCAGCAACACGGGTGGAAATGGAGGGTTTTATGCTATGGGATATAAGTCAGGCAGAGAAAGAGAGATACCATATCATTTCACTTGTATGTGGAATTTGAGATACAAATCACACACGGGGAGTGGGGAAAGAGGAAAACCAAGAAACAAATCTAAACTCTAGAGAGAACAGACTGAGGCCTGCTGGAGGGGTGGTGGGAGGGGGGTGGGGTGATTGATGGGCATTAAGGAGGGCATCTGTTGTGATGAGCACTGGTTGTTGTGTGTATGTGATGGATCAGTATATTTACACCTGACGCTAACATTACACTGTATGGTAACTACACTGGAAACCAAAATTTAAACATTAAAAATAAATGTAAAAAGAATAGGATGCCTCCTGGGGACAGACCTGCCTCCCCTCATTTGCTAGCCCCTCCCTGAGCCCCCCCCCCCCCAGGGAGCAGGTGACAGACCCCACTGTTCTGCAGCCTGAGCACAGTTTATCTTAATGGGGTGGGAATCTGCAGTCCGGGGGCTATAGCACAACCCTGCTGGCCTTTCATGGTACCTGACAGTGGTTCTCAAAATGCAGTGTGCACCAGCAGCAACAGCATCGCCCAGGAACATAGAATTTTAACCCCTCGGGTGCTGCCGCAGACCCACTAAACCAGGAATTCTGTGGGTAAAACCCAGCTCACTTTCTGAAACCCCTTTGCTAGACCTTAGCTCAAGGGACAGTTGCTACAGGATTTCAGAACCCAGACCCGCCCTCCAACACTGGAGAAGACACTGTTGTGTCTGGGCCACACGCTGGCACAGGGTCCCCAAATCCCGACACTTGGGCAGGAATTGGCGTGCTCCTGAGGGGTCAGGAGTCAGAACGCTGAAGTACAAGTATCTGTAAACAGTAGCTTTAACCCAAGTCCCACAGACAGCCTGTGGGGTCATTCGCCCCTAGGGAGAAATGCTGGCTTCCGGTAGCCACAAGTTTAAAACGAACTTTCTTCTTCCCCTGAAGCAGTTTACTGAACGTTGTAGCTGGTGCACAAGGAGGCAAGGGCAGTCCAGGCCCGGGCCAGGGACCAGGCGGTGGCCTCCCAACCTCTGACTTTGCAGGAGGCCACCAAACCCACAGCTCAGCACTTCCTGCCTCTCTTGAGCTGAGCCGTCAGGTGCCCACAGGTGGGTGGGCCACCACCACATGCCCTTCCTCTGCGTGTGACCAAACTGCCCCTTCTTGGCTAAATTTCTAATCGGCACTCCACCACCTCTGGCCCTAAGGACACACCCTGAAGAAAGTCAGAGAAAGTTCCATCCCCAATGCCTGGACCCCTCCCTAACCTCACCCATGAGGCAGAGCAGGTGATCCGTGAGCCACTAGGGAGGGGGCGCGAAACCGTAGGAAACAGCGCAAGTTGGAGGAGGAAACTGTAAAAGGGTCCCCACCCCACCCACCCCCTGCCCCGCCGGCGCCCCAGCTGCACGTCTGCTCCCACATAATCCGGGGGACCCAGCGCCAGGGACCAGGTCCCTGCTCTGGGGTCACCCGAGCTCCTGCGGAGGCTGCAACACATCTGAAAGGACAGGGGGGCACAGGCCCGATTCCCAGACACCCTACCTGCGCCCCCCGTGTGTGCTTGACAGCAAGCTGGTCCTCAGAAACGGTGACCC